TCACAGCTGTACAGTTCCAAACATGACTATCGGAGCACTCGCATGCCAAATCCTCATTGTAGGGAATTCCCGTTCCGTTTGCACTTAAATCAAACGTACCATTGGCAGCGCCATATTCACATCCGCTTACGAGCTCACTGAACAAAGATTTATTTGGTAAAAGCATTTAGGCTGCAGAGATCTAATCATGCAATGTGCTCTATCTTGTGATTATATAAGGGAAGAAGTTAGTGCTGAGAAGAATTCGCCTCAATTACCCTCTTTTGCGAAAAGCCCAATTTGCTAAATTTAACCACTTTAAAGATAGTACTTAGATCACGGTGGTAGCGTAAACTGGCTGTGGGTCAAAAGTACTTCTAATCATAGGTTAAAAACTATTTATTATAATCTATGGGTCTGTGTGATGTGCGTTCATTTTAAGTAAAACTGCTGTCTCTGGTGAAGAGGGAAAGAGAACAAAAAATTGGTTACAAGGAGTCCCTTTGAAAGGTCATGACGGAGATGATTAGAATAAAAGACTTAAGGAGGAGCTTGTTTCAAGCCGGAGAAAGAATAAAGTGATTAAATGCATTAGAACGACTCGAAGAGCGTTAGTGTAAGCGAAAAGGAGGAAAAAGTACTGCTATGCAAAAGCTAATTCTATGTACACAGAAGAAACAAAATGTTATGTGCCGTTATCTTTAATAACCTACTTCGGCTTCTTCATTCCCACCCAGAACAAAGCTGATTTCGGGAGCTCGCTGAACATCAAACAAATAAATATGTTTGTACGATTGTGGAGAAGATAATGAAATGGAAGAGAGCGGATAGTTATATCCATCCAATTTATACAAACTGACACATTACTTCTGAGAAAATTTCATGATTTTTTTTTCCAAAAATCTTCTATCTTTACACATGAATGTACCATAAAGATGAATAACGACAACAGAGAGGAAGAGAATGCCATGGAGGAAGAAATTGAATACATATGTAGATTGATTTTCAAAAGAAATTTACCGTTTAAAAACGGGTACATCCTTCACACAACGAGTTCCCATACCAGGTGGATCT